ACAGCCTAAGATACTTCAGTACCCAAATATGCAAATTATGACTACCAGCTCTAAGAGGAAAGCAGTTATAAGTTTCAAACACTGAAAAGTCTCAAACTTTGGAGCCCAAATATTAAACATTTTACAATATTTTTAAGAGATAAAAGTTATGCTAAGTTTTGGTTTCCGTTTTCATATGAGAAATTTAAGGAAGTAACTCATTCCTCAGACTCTTGTTTCAGGAAAAAACATGCTCTCATTCATTCATTCATTCATTCAGATGGGCAAAGTTATAATTAGCATGCATTAAGTAATCACCCATTAAAATAAAATCTCAAAGACTACTATTTTCCTTAATAAAGCAAACATCTCTAGAATATAAGAGTTGAAAGATACAGAAAGGCTTAGAGGAGATACTATAAAATAACTAGACACATCAAAATAATAAAAAGGCATATAATATTAGAATGTACAACTCAAGAAAGGAGTTTAAATAAAAAATAAAACCTAAAAAAAATGTGAAGGTACTTCTAACATAAGTATAAAACAGAATTCCATAGAAAAAGAAGGGTGCATGGTGGCACACACCTGTGGTCCCAACACACTGGGAGGCTGATGCAGGAGGTTTATAAGTCTGAGCTTAGTCACTCACTCAGTTTAAGACTCTGTGTCAAAATTTTTTTCAAAGAAATGGGATAGTTCAATAGGGAGGCCCTGGGTTCTAGCTCCAGTTCAACAGAAGGAAGGAAGGAAGGAAGGAAGGAAGGAAGGAAGGAAGGAAGGAAGGAAGGAAGGACGGAAGGACGGACAAAAGAAAAAACGGAAAAAAAGGAAAATGAAGATGACTAAAATGCCAGCATCTAATCCATTCTATAATTTTAGTCAAGTACAAAGACCCAGATAAATATTTTTTAATATGAAAGACAACAAGGACTATAGTTTTTGTCATCCATAAAAGAAGATAAACTTGAGCCAGATGAAAACTGTGGCACATGGCTTGGAGAAGAGCTTTCAGTTCATTTAATGATAGAACTAAGAGGATAACAAAACATGATTGCAGAACAGAATGTAAATGCTATAAACCCTGACAGTAAATATACATACAATATATATTTCTATACAATATATATTTCTAAACAATATATATTTTAAAATCACATAACTTTTATTTGCAATAAATATCTCTAAAGTAAACACCAGAAAAATTAGGCAACAAATCACCCACACTCTAAGAATTAGGGAGAGATATTCTAATGTCGCTATCAGATATAGGGTAAAATGACTCTTTAATGCCATATATCCAAGACTCTCTCCCTGAATTACTTGTGCCTGATGTCTATCTGGTGGTTGGTTAGTTTTACTGCTGTGGTTTGGTTTGGTTTACAAAGTGAAAAGTATTACATGGACAAGTGCTTCTGACAGAGACTACCATTAATCTCTAACAAGTTCTTTGGAAAGAACGAGGCAGCTAAATTTAGAAAATATGGGCTGGCCAAATAAGTGCGTGCAAGCAGACACAGGGGCCGGGGCTTTGATCCCCCAGCCTGCTGTGCTGGCCCACCCCTGGGGCATGCTGAGATGGCAACTGAGATTGGGCATGGTGATGCATGCCCATAATCCCAGCTCTAGGGAGGCTGGGAACAGGAGGATCACTACAAGTCCAATCTATGCAGTGAGACCCTGAACACCCTGTAGACCCTTCCTTAAAAATACAAAAAAGAAATATATACTGTATGCATATTTACTGTCAGAGTTTATAGCATTCACATTCACATTCTGTTCTGCAATCATGTTTTGTTATCATCTTAGTTCTGAAGATCATGAAGATTTACTTCCTTAGGCACCTGAACCCCAGAGGACTCTGGCCTAGTTGAAATGTCTCTAGTTACCCTCTTATACTACTCCCCAGATGCCAGTTTTCTTCTGGGAAATGTGAGAACAGGCAATGAACTGCATTGCTCAAAAAGTGAGTCTAGCCTGCGAAATATTATGAAATTTTACATTACCGACAGCCTCAACAGCTGATGTTTTTCTTGTTCTTCAAAACTGTCTGTATCACTGAAACAAGGATGTAAGTAAGGGTGTGTGTGTGTAATAGATACCTTTATTTCTTTGGTGTACTTCAATTTACTCAGAAAAGATATTTTTCTTGCCTTTTTGAGTTCAGTACTTACACTTTTTACTCATTTATTCTGGTTATGGATTATGATTTTAATATGATTTAACAAAGTAACCGAGGGCATAGTGACTAACTAAAATGACTTGTTTTGATTGATAGTACAATGGTCTTCAAAATATTTTGAATACAAAATCGTACTAAACAGTCCAAGATCTAAGTATATACAATCCACAATATGAATATTGTGTATTTATAGATTACATATACACTATATATACATATGATATAGGTATGTGTATTATAAAAATATGATATAGGTATTTCTAAATAATTTGATAGACATGTGTTAATGACAAGTGATTTTTGGCTGTCACCAGAAAATCTTGGTAATACTTCTTAACAATAACGTGATGTGGTATAGCTTTATTTCTGTACATCTTGGCTTACTCCATGGTGACTGAGCAGTGTAAAGTTCAATTTGCTTTGTTTTAGAGGCTCAAATAGATATTTCATCACATTGCAGTGATCTAAATGAAAAAGGAGAAAAAAAATAAGTGAAAAAGGGCAATCGTGGTCCTGACAACCTCAGTTTTCAATTCCTTCCTTTGACAATGAAAAAGATTAGGTGCTTTCGATTTTCATATTATTATTATTTCTAACTGAAATTCAGTACATAAACGTTCATCTTTCCTAATATCAAGTCCTTGCTCTTGAAAACGTATTAAAACTATTGAATTTGTATACTTAAAAAAACCCCTGTGATTTAAAACCACCAAAACTTCACAAGATATTTCAGCAAGGTTAGGACATCCCATTTCCAAATTAATGAACATGAAGATGTTTAGAGTCTCAAAAGGCAACACATATCATGTTTAATACAAAATCATACTTCCAAGCATCTGTTTTTAAAAGTCCTCTCCCTGAAGCACAAGTTTCTTCTGGAAGCACTCACTTCCTAGCTCACTGCTTCTGCCTTTAAGGGCTATATTTATTTTTTTTTCTTTGGGGCCTGGGATTGAACTCAGGCCCTTGCACATGCCAGGCAAGTGCTTATTCAACTGAGCTATCTCCCCAGTCCAAGGGCTATATTTAAAATATATATTTTTCAAAAATCTCTACAAAGTAGCATCTACTAAAACCATCTGTGGCACAAAGGCCAGCAAATTTGGGCAAATTGGTTTCCACACAAGAAAAGGGAGTAACAATTGTTGGTTCCTCCTGAGAAAAACAACTTCTGTGTGGTAGAAATATATTGATATTCATTACCAATCTCATCACGAAGTATATAAAAGGGTGTATACTTTTTAAAAAACTTGCTTCTGAAATCAACTGAGTGATCTTGTCTTATACAGCAGTACTTTGTATGCTTCTGGCATTAATTTCTTTGCTCCTCTTCAAGCTCAATAGCTTGCTTGTGAATGATACAGCAAATGCATTCCATACATTCACTGTTAATGTGTGCAAATTCTTATTCAAATAACCTGCTTGCTAATTTCCATTGAGAAGAGCTGGCTTCTGGTCAGATTTTCCTAAATTACTTTTCTCCCCATACCCATCTCTCTTTCCTCACGCTCAGAACCTCCATTAATGAGCACATGAATGCCCAAAGCAAAGCCTACAGTTCCCAATTTCCCTTACCCTTTCCTTTCCAGAGACACACAGCTCTGTATCTAAGAGTCAGCTGGTATAACTTAAGTGGGAATAATTTGTAGCTCTATATTTTTTCAATTTTTTATTATTTTTTAATGTATTTGGTTGGTGCAGGGTCTCACTACACAGCTAAGACTTGTGGTGATCCTCATGCTTTTAGCCTCCCCAGCGCTGGGATTACAGGTGTGCAACACTATGCCTGGACTCTCGCCAGCTCAGCCTGCCCTGGGGGCGGGTTGGTGCAGCATGTGGTGCCAGGGATACAGCCACAGTCTCTGCACTTGCCTAAGCAGGCACTTTAGTCTGTTGAGCTATCTCAACGGCCCCTAATCTGTAGCTTGAAAGCAAGGGGAGATCTTGCCTCCTTTCCACCTAACTGGCTGGAATTCAGATTCGATGGCTGCACCTTAGGCAGCCAAGCATGAAGCAAGGAGAAGCCAGGTGTTAAGGCAGCCAGAGCAACAAGAGATGCAGAACCTGGATCCTTGAGAGGTGTGCTGTCATCAGTCCGCTCTGGGTTGCTAAGTCTATGTGAGAAGGAAAGACATTTTGTGAGCTCCCGGTATTTGTCTTTCTAGCTTTCACTGGTGCACTGAACCCTAATTAAGAACTGATAAACAAAGAGCTCATGCAAGCTGTCAGAGAAGGGTCAGCACAGGCATTCTCTCACACCTGCATGGGCCCACACTGTTAATATTACCTTCAGCCTGCGGTTCTGTCAGAGAAACTACTTTTAAGCTACTTGTCCATTTTCTCCAGATTAGTTCTTAAGAACTATATACTGTAAACTTTTGGGCATGCATGAACTGCAACCCAAGCCAATAGCCTCTTATACAGCAAGCAAGCCACCAGACACCACTGAACACGTCCAACATCTCTTCCCAGGCTACTTCAGAACCATGCATAACCTGAGTCAGACATACCCAGAACGTGGGAGAACACTAGTACTCACATTAAATATGAAGAAAGCTTCATTTCTGGTGGATATATAAACATACAAAGTCATACTCCTTCCCTGGCACTATGAACGAGCGTTTTCATGCATCCTCCTGGTGTGCAAGCTTGCATCCACCTCAGTACCCACTATCATTGCGACCAGGCAATAGCTAACTGCAGATTTCTCTCCCAGATTATGGCACTACTCTGGGAGGTGGAAACATCCACAGGTGGAAAATCAGTGCAAGTTAGAGTTTCCTGCAAATGCAAATGGTAAATCAGAGGGTAGATGGATAGAAAGTGAGTAGTGCCTTACCTGAAAACTTCAACAACAGTCCTTCCAGGTAATCTGGGAGCCACCTGCCTGAATGCTTTTTTGAAATCTTCCAAAGTTAAATAGCCACGATCTATTTGAAAACAAAATATAAAGCTTTTACTTTCTTCTATAAATGCTGTGAACTATTATTTCAGCTGTAAGATCTGTGTACAATGTTGTTTTAATATTTCAGGAGAAAAGAAGTAATGTATAGTTGTTTTTACATACCAGGTGATCTGATACTGTCTTAGTGGGGGAACTTAAGTACCCAGCGAGAGCCTCCTGTTCGTGTGTCCTAGATACCTGAGAGTCACTGCCAGCCCTGCCATCCTTCAGATTCTCTAAGTCCCAGGAAAGGACTATACACAGACATTGCTGTGATATCACATTAAACGTCAAGTCTTTGCAAAATGCCAACGTATTGCAGTCTTCAGAATTCAGCTTTTTTCTTGCTTGGTACTAAACTGTGATGTCTTATTTAAGAGGGAAATACAGTAGTGCTGAAGATACTGAACCTGGAATCACAAGTCTTTTAATTATGTATGGGATCTGTGGGGTCGGGACCTGCGGCGATCCTATCTAGTGTAGAAAAACAACTCCAAACGTGTGGATCAGAGAAGGAGTTGAATGAGAAGGCTATCTACTTCCATGGGTGGCTTGTAGCCTATGTCCCCTCAAATGCAGTCTGCTTGCTGTCACCATTACAGTATAGGTACAATATGCAAGTACAGAAGTACAGCAGAGAAGTACAATTATACAACTGTAAATACTGTATCCATAGTATATGACAGGAATTTAAGATCACAATGGGAGGGAAAAAAGCACACCAACATCTAAGGTAATAGCTAAAGAATACAGTGACGTGATCCCCCAAGTGTATGGTATATTTGATCTAATACACTCCCATTCACAATTCCTTAACAATTTTTATATAAGAACACTTTAAACATTTGAAGCACACTTACAGTGCACATCAAAAGCTGTGAAGATGTGTCTCATCTCATTCCGATACAGTTGAGCTTCCTTCTTTTTCTTTATAATATTTAAAAACTCCCCAAGTACTATGCCTAAAAGTTAGGAGGAAAACAAACATGACTATTTTCCTCTTCAAGAAAAAATAAAACAGACATGAATAGTGATAAATATCACAACTAATTGAATTTCATCTTAATTTCAGTAAATCAGAATTACTTTTAAAATCAAAACGACATTTTACTATGTTCTAAGTAAACCCAACCTTCACAATCAATAGTGTAAACAATAGGCAACCTTAGGTTTCACTGAGCTTTTTTAAGAGATAAAGGAATGACGACCCTGAAAAACTCTGACACTCTTCTCTCTGACAGATCTAAAAAAGAGACACAAAACTACTTATTAAACAGCTCTCATTTTTCTTTCCTTATGCTTCTTTGATCCCTTTTTTCCTAGCCAGATGTCATCTTGGCAGGTTTTTTCCCAACTGGGAGATGGGGTCAAAGAAGTTGTTTCTCAAAAGTCAATATCCATCGCACACTGCAGATAAAGGTGGAAAAAATATTACATAAACAATAGAGCTGGCACCATCCCCAGCCCTGGATACACCCTCAATGTGTTCAGCAGCCTCAGGCTCAGCTTCCTATGACTTTCATAATAAAAGAGCCCAGCATGATGATATGAGATTGGATACTGTGCTTACAGTGTCTATTAAAATGAATTCTAATGTGATCTTTGTACTAGGTTTAAGGAGTCGAGCCAAGAATTTAAACATTTTAGTGAACTGAGCCCTAAATATGTAAAAAGAGTAGTAATTTTAAAAACGTAGGCTTTCCATTAAAAGTTTTCTTTCTATTTTAAAAATAGACCCAAATCATATAATAATCACATGCAACATTTTCCTTTGGATGAATGAATATTTAGCCAAATACTGTTCCTAAAATAGTTCCAATAGCTTGAAAAAAATGTTGAAAGAGTTTTCTTAGTTTCCCATGTCTTCCTTAAAGATACATAACCTAAAAAAACAAAAACAAAAACAAAAAACAAGGGCTAGTGAGATAGCTCAGCCAATTAAAGCACCTGCTTAGGCAGATGCAGGGAATGAGGTTCAATCCCCACTGTGAGGGCTCCGCCCCCAGGGTGCAATGAGACAGGGATTGAGACTGCGCATGGTGGTGTACACCTATAATCCCAGTGATTGGGAGGCTGAAAACAGGAGGACCACTATGAGTCCAATCTGTGTAATGAGACCCTGTAGGCCCTGTACTAAATACATGAAAATAAATAATAAATTAAGATAATTTTGAAAAAAATAAACCTAGCTTAATTTTTAAAGTGATTCTTCTGCAACTTTTTACATTTTTAAAAGTCTTTTATTTACTCGGTACATTGTCTTGCTGTGCAGTTTGGACTCACAGCAATCCTCCTGTCTCAACCTCCCCAGTGCTAGGATTACAGGCATGCGCCACTATGCCCAGTTTCAGTGGCTGGCACGGTGTGTGGTACCGGGGATTGAACCCAGGTCCTTGCACTTGCCAAGCAGGCACTTAAGACTGTCGAGCTATCTCCCTAGTCCCTGCAACTTTTTTTTTTAACCTATGGTGTGTTAGACCCTATTAAACTATGGAAAGAAGGGCCAGCAAGGATAACTCAGCACACTAAATGCCTGCTTAGGCAAGCACAGGGAGCAGGATTCGATTGCTGGCACCACAAGTCTTACTGGCCACAGCACTGGGTGTGCTAAGCCAGCTACCAAGACTGGGCATGGTGGCATATGCCTGTGATCCCAACACTGGGGAGGCTGAAATGGGAGGATCATTAGAAGTTCAAGCTATATAGTCAGACCCTGTACCAAATACATTAATTAGTTAATTAACTAATTAATTCTGGAAAGAGAACAGACATAATTCCAGTTCCAAGGGAAATACTGGGGAAGCTGGGGAGAGTTATTATGCATATCAACTGCAAATGCACATAGTTACAAACTGTGGCATGTGCAGTGAGAAACAGGAGACTGTGACAGTCCTGGGAATCCTCTTGCAGCAGAGACTGGCAAAGAAGTGAGCGCGTGGAGTGAGCAGGAGATAGCAGCTAAGCTCCAAACCATGAAATGCTACCTACTGGCTACAGGATGGGAAGAGGAGCCTTCCAGGTAGTAGAAACCATCTGTGCTAAGACCGTGGGATGAGAAAATGGAAAGAGGCCAGGTGGTTGGAATGGAGAGAGAGAGAGAGAGAGAGAGAGAGAGAGACAGACAGACAGACAGACAGACAGACAGAGGGAGACAGAAGAGAGTGGTAAGCCAGGTAGAGCCAGAATGCATAGGCCTTTGTGCGCCATAATAAATAATTTTGGTTTTATTTGTATTCCAAGAGAAAGTTAATATAAGATTTGGATTGAAAAATGATAGATCTGATTAGTTTATTATTTTTAATGTATTTGGTTGTTACAGGGTTTCACTACGCAGCATGGACGCATAGTGATCCTCCTGTTTTTAGCCTCCCTAGTGCTGGGATTACAGGCATGTGCTACTACACTTGGACTCTGGCCAGCTCAGCCTGCCCTGGGGGTGTGGCTGACGTGGCATGTGGTGCCAGGGATCCAACCACAGTCCCTGCACTTGTATAAGCTTGCCTAAGCAGCCGCTAAGTCTGCTGAGCTATCTTGCCAGTCCCAAGACCTGATTTATTTTTATTTATTTATTTATTTATTTTTCTACTTTTGAGACAGGGTCTTGCTACGGAGTTCAGGCTAGTCTTGAGCTCATTTTGTAGCCCATGCTGCTCTTGAACTCTTAACAATCCTCTTGCCTCAGCCTTCTGAATGCTGGGATCACAGCCATGTGCTACCACGCCTGGCCTGATTTAATTTTTGAAAAGATCTTTCAGGGTATTGTGTTAAAAAGAACTGAGTGCAAAAAGCAAAACCTATAAAAAGGGAGACCAGTTAGGGGCCTCCTGACTGGAGCTGAAGCTGCTTGGGTACTGGCATTGGCAGTGAGTGGAGGAAAAAGCACCCACTTACACTTGAGATAAGAAACGGCACAACTTGAGGAGGCACTACATGTGGCTGGTAAGAAAGAGGATGCCAAGAACCAGATTCTTGTTGAGAACTTGATGGCCTGAGGGGTCATTTAAGGACACGAAAAAACTGAGGGCAAGAACAGGTTTGGTGGTGAAATAAAGTGTCATGATTTGGATATGTTAATAGTCAGTGTTTTCGAGACAACTAATAGTATAAGTGGCAGTGTCAAAAGCAACTTGAAAAGTTACAAGATTTTTTTTAAAGACTAGTGGTTTCTGCAAGCTTCATCAGACCTAGGGTGTGAGCTCCGCCCCCTGTTCTCCTCAACTCAGATAAATGTATAGAATATGTAGACAGTGGCACCTAGAGGGGTCCAGCCACCCTTCCATGGGGACAGGAGAAATTTGAGGGAACATGAGGCCCCTCCCCGTTCTCAGAGCTTTCTCTTAAGAAAGCCTTCCTCTTTTGCACCAGGCCTCCCTCGCTTGTTTGCAAGAAGTGAGCAAAGGGACCTGAGCGTAGGGACCTGAGGGGCCTGTAACAAGAGGAAAACATCAAGGAGGCAACTGGTTTTCCCTCTGGGCAAGAAAACATCTTCCTGCAGCTAGCAGAGCTTCAGACAACAAATGCACTCAGGCCCTGGCATCTGTAGAGGTTGTCCCAAGACCGTCAGGAGGTTGAACTCTAGGAAACATAAGTAAGTCCCTTATGAGAAATCCTGCAATATTTGCATCTAACCTACACATATCCTCCCATGTACTTTAAATCATCCCTGGTTTACTTGTACTTAATACAATGCAAGCATTATACAAATAGTGTTACATTTTATCATTCAGGAATAATGACAAAAGTCTGCACATGTGCAGTACGGTGCAGCTTTTTCCGAACAGTTTCCATCTGCAATGGGCTGCAGTCTGGCACCTGCAGCTACAGAGAGCTGACTGTGCTGTATGGAGTCAGCACACGTAGAATTTTTTTTTTTTATGGTAGTTGCTAAGGATAGAAATTGATGTGGCTCCACTCCCAACTAATCACTCTTGTGACCAGAGAACATATTTTCAAATGCTGAGGCTAAAACTGAAGTCCAGCCAGCATGCTCCCATAAGATCATATCTATAACTCTAGTTTCACAAACTCCAAAAAGTAATCAATTAAACAGAAACTAGAGTTGTTGAGATTCTTATGTAACTCACCCACTAATCATGGTGCATTTTACAGACCCATCACCATCTGGCCCCCACCTGCCTCTCCAGCTCTCTGGCTAGCTTCCTGCTGCTGCTCCAGGATCACAGACTCCACGCACCTGCACACATACACGCACTGTCTGGAAAGCAGCTTTTTCTTTATTTCTCCTACTGAGTCTTCACACCTTCTTCCAGATGCAGCTCAAACATTACCTGCTCTCTGAAGGCGTCTCTGATTTCCCTGAGTCGCTTTGCCATGAGCAAAACCCAGCACTCACAGTACGATGGTCAAATTGATTAGGATCTGCAGTATGTGTCTGGCCACACGTTTGCCTGAGATAGGCCAAGGGAAAGCAGTGGGCACTATTGAAACTTTCATCCCCATGTTTAGCACGAGGCCTGACATGTAGTAATCATTAGTTACATGTTCGCTAACAAGTAATATATAATAAATAAAGATTAGGAAGGTGTAATTTCTAGTTTTCAACAAAAAATATTAAATATATGTTTGTTTCGTTTTTTTTTGCAGCGCCAGGAATTGAACTCAGGACCTTTGCGCTTATTCTACTGAGCTATCCACCCAACCCTAAATATATGTTTTAAATCATCTTATAATTCTAAAAACTAATGCCAAAATGGAGGCCACATTTTACTCACATAGCCAGCAAAATAAGCCAACATTTTAGAAACTTTTGTTTCTTAATATATAATTACTTAGTAAAAAGGAAACAAAATTCTGAAAGAAGAAAATGCATGCCTAATATTTGTGTTTATCACTGCATCTGACTTAGAGAAAGGACTGGAAGAGGAGCACAGTTATGTGGTGTCAAGTACGAGCACAGGGAAGAAAAGCAATGGCCTGGTGACATCTTTTAAATTACATATTCAGAT